TTGGAGTATTTTGTATTTTATTTAATTATGTAACTGTATATTCTCAGGATTCAGTTTTAGTTCTTTTCAGAGGTGAAAATTAGGACTATTCACTCAATGAAGAGAATTACCTCTTTTTGTTTATCATTTGGTATAAACAGCTTCGTGACTTGTTCTAAAAACAATAAGAGTTACGTGTCATCACAAAAATACAATACTGCATTTTTTTTTTTTACAAATAAATTTGTGAGCAGCATTTTCTAATTTGGGAAAGTGGCCAATTTCGGCAAATATTTCTTAATTATCTTGCCTTTTTGTTCATTATTTAATTTTCCACTTCTGAATTTTTTCCTATATATTTATATCATTTTTTTAAATCTTTTAAACGGTTATTATTTAATTTAATATATGTATTACGGACCACAGTTAATTTGTTGTTATTTAATTCATGGACCAATAATATTTTACAATATTTTTAGTTTGTTTCAGTTTTCTAGTTATCATAATACAATCGGGTATCTCAATATTTAAAATATTACATTTAAAATCAAATATATTTGTTTATTTTTTTTTAACGTATATAGGAAAAAAGTTAGGAGTGAATAATTAATATTTATTTTTTTTATCCGACTGCACTCGACTCTATTTTTTTCCACCTACAATACGTCCTCACAATGAAAATATTGTGAACTCCTTCTGTTTTAAGTCAATACATCGATGTTTCGACTTGCATTAGCTGGGTTACCCACAAATGTGAACTACGTTTTCAGAGTTAAAATATAAACATTTCCAGACTATCAATTTTGATAAATTATCCTAAAACAAGGCTAGGAAAGTACGTTTCTTTTTCCGAGGGAACTATCCAAAACAATAGAATAATTTTTATACCAGCACGTTGCAAAACAGATTTAGTAATCAAGAGATCGAGGAGGAAAAGAGGAAATAAACTGGGCTAATCGGCCTTGAACCCTACACCAAATCCGGAGCTTAATATAACCTAAAATCATACATACATTTTCAATTATAATAAATTTTTTCAGAAAAAAATGAAAATATCAAAATAAGAAGCTTGGCTTAGCATTATTACGATTTTGTTATTTTAATATTTCGGTCATTGATGATGTCCCACTTATTCGATCTTTTGCATACCATATATATATATATATATTTCGGGATCGTTAAAATTATCTGTAATCTACGTTCATTGCTAATTATCTCGTTTCAACATGCATTAATCACGCCATATAAAAAAAGACAATACTTACAATGATAATTAATTGCTTGTTTTTAAATAAGCATAAATCATAATTTTTAATTCTATAATAATTTATATCGAAAACCACTTGAATTGGCGTATTTCCATTATTTGTCCCGTTCAAAAAAATCTCGTAAGGTAAATGTAAAACGAAATAATAAAATATTTTTATTGAGAAATTCAACTCAATTCAATTTTCAAACAAAATTGTTGATCAATTTTTACCTCTGCATTTTCATTGAAAAGAGCAATCAACTTTTATAATGTTCTACAAAATATAAATTACTTTTATATTTTTATTGAAGTTTTCATGAACTGTAATTCAGATGTTCTTTATGAAAGTACATTTTTATAGTTCAAACTTTTAATTATTTGTATTAGTACATCAAAACTTGAGAAGTAATTGAAGAACAAAAATCAATAAATACATATTGATTTTTGATAGATCATTATTGAATTTGAGTTTAGTTGAGTTTGAAAGCTTTAAGTTTTTTAAAAATATGTATATAAAGAAATGTATAAGTATACCACTCGTTATCTACGAGTTGTACTAGTTGAATTTGGTGTTGGCAAATGATTGAACTAAGGATCAATAAAAATGTACGATTAAGATAACAAATGTTAAAAATTACAGATTTTGTAATTAATACACAAAGTAAATAAAGCTAGAAAAGTCGCTACAAAACGGATTTTGAACAACCTAAATTATAAGTAAATTTTTAGAATCTGGGTCCTAAAAACTGCAGATTTTTCGATTAATACGAAGCAATGTTCTCCCCTCCGGTATCACCCGAAAAAATATATTGATATTATGCAGCTATTTTTTTTTTAATTATTACATATTTTAAAAAATAATAAACGCTCAAAAAACCTCCATTTATTTGGGAGGGGTAAGGGAAACTGCAACGGATTCTCAACTAAAATTTTAAAAAATGAAATCAGATTTTTTTATGAAAGATCGTTATTAGACGTAAAGCATACTGTTAAAAATATATATAAGTTTCTAAAGATTAAAAATTTTTTTTTGGAGACTAGATTAAATTAATTGATAAATTTAATTAATCTAAAATCAGGTATTCGGAAAATCGCATCAAAAAATACTTGATTAAAAAATATCTCACGGAAAATTTTACACTAAATCCAAGAATTAAACATTATTAAAATAAAATTAAAAGTAATAAATAAAATCAAAGGCCAAGGACTAGATAAGAAGATAGGACACAGTAACTAAATTACTTTTAAGAAAATGTAAGTAATCGTTCATATACCATAATGAGCTCTTGAAAGGACAGTAACTCGATGGTTTTCTTATACACGTTATATTGTCCTAGATATTAAAAAAGTAATGAAAGTACGATAGCATTAAAATATAAACTATTAAATAACTATAACCCAATTTCCAGCCAAAGAAAACGTAACCTTTTTATTGTTTAATCTCGGAAAAAAATTGTATATTAATTATTAACTTCCAACATTATCTTGTGTTCATTTGAAAATACAAAACATATTTGAGCCTGGAAAATTTTTGCTTGAACAAAAAAATGGAAAAAAAATTTATGTAATTCCAGACTTCACTTACGTCAACCTATTTTATGCATACATAATACATGTTTAGTGCAAAAAAGTAAAATATCCGGATCTATGATAAAAAATGTTTACCTTCTTCAACATAAATTATTGTAATCGAATTTTTTTCTCATTACATGTTAATCCTTGAAAAAAATGGTTAATAGCGACATTTTTTGTTTTAATTTCTAGAATCTGTTCTAACATGAAGCGATAGTTATTATACCGCCATTTCACGCAGATACTTATTAATGTGAATCAATTGGGCACTTGTCAACGTAAATTAATGTTCTTTCAAACTACCTGAACTCAAAACTTTTTTAAAATAAAAAGAAGGATAGTGGATTAACAACAAAGACTGTGGTGAAAATAATGAGGGGTTGGTTGGGGTGAGCAGTCACAAGGAAAACGTAAAAATGAATAAATTATATTTATTTTCATTTTTACCGACGATTCGGCCCAAAGGTTCAGGCCCTTCATCAGGGTTAAGAAAAGACAAGATAACAATACATATGAGCAACTAGTAAACGGTAGAAACACAATAATATGTAGAAGAAAGTTAGAATATGTAACATAATGATAAAAATAGTTTAGAAACTTATGGAAGTTGCAGAGTTAGGAACTTATGAAATAAACAATAATAAAACAAATGTAATAATATAATAAAATTAGCAAAGAAATGAAAAATGAATTTAATGGAATATTAAAAGACAAAATGTGTTAGGCATAAAATAAATGGTATGACGTAGTTGCTAAAAGTTGATGTCTTACTTAGTATGTTAAAAGGTCTCAGTTCCTTTTAACATACTAAAACATCAACTTTTAGCAACTACATCATACCATTTATTTTATGCCTAACACATTTTGTCTTTTAATATTCCATTAAATTTCCTTATTAATTCATTTTTCATTTCTTTGCTAATTTTATTATGTTGTTACCGTTATTTTATTATTGTTAATTTCATAAGTTCCTAACTCTGTAACCATTATTATTTATTTCATAGCTCCTAACTCTGTTGGCGTTATTATTTATTTCATAAGTTCCTAACCTTTTTTCTACAGTTATGTTATCTATCCTAACTTTATTATACATATTATTATGTTTGTACCTTTTAATAGTTTCTCATATGCTATGTCTGTTCTTAGCCCTGATGAAGGCCTGAAGGAACCTTGGGCCGAAACATTGGCAATAATAAATATTATTTATTTATTTTTACTTTCTGGTTGTGACTGGTCACCCCACACAAATATATTGTTTTCCTTTTTTTTTAAGTGATAAGTAAGATTTAATATTTATTACTTTTTCTTTAACGTTTCAGTCTATATTAAAACGGATGTACACGAGCAAGAGCATTGGTGGAGAACTGATCCGGCAAGTAGGCCACTTGTTTCATTTTGCCAACTCCTGACGGCTTGGAGAGGTTGCCGCCGTGTACTTATCAGAGTGCGAGGGTCAAGATTCATGTCTCGGGATTGGCGAGAAATAGACATAATCAACCCAGCTAGAAATCGAATCCACAACGTGCAGAATCGAACACAAAGGTACCACCCCTAACGAGCTCGGCCATCACGTTCTCTAAAATCGATTATAAATCAAATAAATAAAATCAGATCAAATGTACGTTTGATAAACGAATTTCAGAAGATAAAAAAAAAAAAGAAAGAAGAGAAAATAATGTTGGATTAAAGTCAGGATTTTTGGAGAAAAATACGTGTAAGAATTAGCTACCTATTTTTTTTTTTTTTTTTATGGCCGTCATAAGTAAACTTATATGTAGTATGAATATTAAAAAATTGGAAAAAACTTCGATGTAATTTTTCTAAATCCTTATCCTCAAATAATTGTGTCAATATCTCTAAATTTTGTCCCACTTGTAGAGCTATCCAAAAATTAAATAAAAAAAAATTCGGTGACGAACAATTAAGTACTTATAAATTGATATTTTCATTTAAATTATTATTATTTTTTGTTAATTATTTAATGTGATATCTTCTTAGATGTATATTCTTTAGAGAAAGCTAGGTATTATTAATTTATGATAGGAATACAATATACATGTATCGTAAATAGATACGAAGTAACATAATCCATTTCCACCATATTCGACGGATTATAACCACATAATAATAATCCACCACATTGGCTGACATAAGACACAACAGTTATTGAACAACACAAGCACATCACTTTGACACTCACCACGATAGCCTCCTGCTGGTAGACCATGTTGCCTGCACTAAGGACAAGAACTGACTGGACTAAACACCACCACTGCTCACTATATCAAGCATCCCCACCCTTCCTTAATCTTATCACAACTGCAGCATCCCTCCAAGATTTTTAGATATTACGATCAGTAGATTACAGGACTTCCTTTTTTATTTTGTTATCGTCAAAGCCCTTCTATTAAAATACTATCTTGAATAGTATTATAAGAATTTTAGCTAAAAATGTTTTATAATTTTTATATGACGGAGGACATCACAGTATTGTTATGAGAGGCGCGGCGCGTATTTCAGAACTATTGTATTTCATGGCTAAAATTTAATCCATACGACATCTAACAATGATTAGTATCCAAAAATAATTACGTAGTTAATGTTCTTTTCTTTCTGATATTCGGACACATGGTATTCAAAAAAACAATTTTTAAATTTTAGAATTCCATGTAATCGGTGTTATTTCTTAAATCGGGCTGAAATACATAGTTTCTATCTCATGAAGTCATATATAATGCGTGATATTAGGTGAAATGTGATTTACAGCAATATAGTAACTAACGGTTTGTTTGCTTAGTACTTTTATGTAATCAAGAATTAACGATAATTTTTTAATCCTAATAATTATCAGTAAATAATTTTCTTTTATACATAAAATAATCCTGATGGCGTAAGGAAGTGATGATGTCATCACTCAGCCGCTGGTCCTATATACTACTATAGTTAATAGATGCAATGCATCTTTTACCTTAGAGCAGTCAGCCCTGATGATGGCCTGAACTTCAGATCGAAACCTCGGCATATATAAATATTATCATTTATTTTTGCCTTCTTTTTTGATTGACCACCCCAACTATTCTTCTCTTCATTACTATAGTTAATATATGAACTATTCTATATGTACATTATCTGATAAACAGTACAGTACATAAACATAAACAGTACATAAATAGTACATAAACAGTACATGCGTAGAATAAATGTCATTATCAGTACTCATACAAGGATCACCTTTAATTGGTAGCTTGTAGTCCCGAACAGGAGAAAACACCAAAAGGCAGCCCACTACCTGAATTCGAGCGTTGGAACTAAACAGGTATAAGGTAAACGACCCAGTAGGAAACATTCAAGTCCGTTCTTCTGATGGAGACATGGATCATACGCTGCATAACAGAAGAGAGTAAGAGTTGGATCATGGAAGATTGACTAGACAACAAAAAATACATGGAAATAGAATTATTTCAGAAGTTCGAATTTAGAGATGGGCAAAAAGTACTCAGAGTAAAAAGTACAAATTGCAGAGTATTTTACTCAAATAGTCCCGCGGTTCGAGTAGTGAAAACTTTAATCACTACTCAACCCGATGATTGACGAGTACAAAAAGTACTCAGCTGTCCTCGTGAGTACTTTCAATCTTCAAATCTATTCAGAAATATTTTACTCTGTGTACTTTTCAAAGTAATCGAGTACTTCATCAGGGTCGGTTATTAGGTTTTGGGGGGGCACTTTTTATGAAAATGGTGTCGGATTTGAGATAGTACCCTCGGACCCCGACTTCTTGTAACATGTCGGATTTAATCGATATCAGGATCAACTATTAGGTTTTGGGGAGTTCTTTTTATGAAAATTATGTCGGATTTGAGATAGTGCCCCCGGACCCCGACTTCTTGTAACATTCCGGGTTTAATCGATATCAGGGTAAACTATTAGGTTTAGGGGGTTCTTTTTATGAAAATGATGTCAGATTTGAGATAGTGCCCCCGGACCCCGACTTCTTGTAAGATTTCGGGTTTAATCGATATCAGGGTCAACTATTAGGTTTTGGGGGTTCTTTTTATGAAAATGATGTCGGATTTGAGATGGTGCCCCCGGACTCCGACTTTTTGTAATATTTCGGGTTTAATCGATATTAGGGTCGATTATTAGATTTTAGGGGAGCATTTTATGAAAATGATGTTGGATTTGAAATAGTGCTCTCGGGCACCGATTTTTCGTAACATTTCAGATTTAATCGATATCTGGGTCGATTATTAGATTTAGGGGAGTGATTTTCATGAAAATAATGTCGGTTAGTTATTATCATAAAAAGCGTCTCCCAAAACCTAATAGTCGACCCTGATATCGATTAAATCCGAAAAGTTATGAAAAGTCGATGCCCAGGGGCACTGTCTCAAATCCGACAGTATATTTTTATAAATAGCGCCCCCCAAAACATGATGGTTAATCTGGTATCGATTAATGGGGGATTAGAGGTGGTCAGGAAGCTATTTTGGACGCTATTATTGAAGGAAATAAAAGAAAACATTTATACTCTTTGTAATAATGATGGAGTAGTTGAAAAATAAAAAGTACTCAGAGGAATTTGGAGGAATTTCTGTAATTCGATATAACACCGCGAGTACTTCCTGTACTTAACTAAAACATGATTAACGCTGCGAGAGTACTCTCAGTACTCGCCGATGTTTGGCCGAGTACAGAAAGTACTCGATACTTTTTCCTAATAAAAGTACTTAAATCATGAAAGTAATCGAGTACTGTCCATCTCTATTCAAATTGAAGAAGTCAATTCAACTACGATCCGATCAATTCGATAATTGAACCCTGTTAGCTCTCACCAGGGTTTATAGGTTCTTATTCGCAAGGAACGGATAGATCTGGGTTTGGCACCAGAGGGATTTTACTCTTCCTTAACATACCCAGTTAGCGGTGTTTTCTCAGAACGAATCAAAACTGTTTAAATTGTAACCAAGATTAAGGAAACATTGAAAAAAAAAAAAACAACTCATCTCTCTTTTGTTTCCTGTGACTAATTATTAATTTCGATTTTTAGCATGTGCACGTGCTCTGATATCTTATATCTTGACTTTCGTTTTTTGATGTTTATTTGTGGAATGCAATACTATTGTATATAAAATAAGTATCTTTTTTTTTAATTTTTATTATCTTTATTATCATAAGTATGCTCCTATTGATCAGTAATTGTATATAGTAATTATGTTTAAATTCTCTCGTTTTCATTTTACTTTATTTCTTTTGCTTGTAGATCTTATTAATTCTGTAAATATTTCTTTCTGTAAATAGGTCTCTTAACCTTTTTTTGCTGCTTTACAAAAATATACAACCTAACCACTTCTCACCTGAGTTAGTGGTACAATAAATATTTAATGATGGTCAAATAATGTGTAAGTAACTTATATAATCTATAAATATTTCGTTAGGGATGAAAGGCTAGTAAAGCCAGGCGCCCAACAAGTAAAGATTCCAATAGAAAATTACATTTATAAAAAAATATTTTATTATCTTTTTATTTAACCTTTTTTTGGTCATAAAATTTAACAAACAAAAATAACTATTTCGAGTTCGGATAATTAATAATACAATATTTTCAAGTGTCTTTGCTTCTAGAATAAAATTGTTTAAGTAATCCTGGTGGGGTTTTATAAATCATTTTATTTTGAAGGTTTTTTTATTCTTCGAAATAGTCCTTTTCCACTCTTTTTCAGTGGTGAAATCATCGGTCCTAAGCTCTTTTAAAGCATTTCCACGTTTCAGTTAGAACCAAAAGTGATTCAAAATACATATTCTATGTTACATTTTCGGTTCAAGCAACTTCAATATTACTACTAAATATCTCTTTGAAGTTAGAATATTAATCTCCATAAGTAGTTGGATCGGTTAAAGTTTTAAGACATAAGCCGCCCCACATAACATCAATAACCGAACAGAGATTACCGCACTAGGAATCACAGAAGAAAAGTTGATATCTTGTCTGTAAAGAAAAAAACTATTCGACTTATTTTACAATACATTTTTCTTATCTAGGATTGGATATTTTACTTGGTTAGAAACAGAAAAGAGCAAAACAGTTTTTTTTTTTTTATTTTCACTGAACATCAATTTAAACATCTTTAAAGACATGGGAAAATTTCCAACTTGCATCAATTAATTCATCAATACGTTTTTTCAAAGTAAAGTGACAGATGACTTTACTTTGAAAAAACTTTGAATGATAAGTGGATTAAGATCAAACTTTTCCATTTCTTCTAGAATGATGACAATTTCAATGAAGCGCTTAAGAACCCATCCAATAATTGAAAGACGTTCCTATGCACAAGTTCTATAATATGCAAGACGCGAAACCATCCAACTCAAGTACCTCAATACCTCAAGTAATGTCAGTATTTAATTGCGTGATATAAATGGTTGGAAAATGTCAGTGAAACAAGTTCAATCTAAAATGTATTAAACATTTCGTTCAAAAAAACTTTTCCATCTTGAAATCAAATTTTGTATATCTTTTCTGAAAAAATGTTTAGGATTATATTAAAGAATGCCAACGACAGGTTTTTCACTTCATCAACAGAATTAAAGTTTCTGCCTAACGAGTTATGAAAACTGTGGATTTTGCATGTAGTCCAAAGTCTAATTGAATTAGACTTTGGACTACATGCAAAAAGCATGGTTGGATAAAATGGCTTGCCGGCCGAAACAGCTATGAAAATTAAAATAAATATGGTGAAGAAATAAACAGAGCCTTATTTTATAATAAAACATTTTCTATAAAAATAATTTTTATATTTATATTTGTACTTATTAAATATATTTTTCCAAATATTATAAGAAAATCACGTAAAAATGCAGGTGTCCACATGAAAGGTGGATGAATTATAAAGTCCAAGGGTATGTTTCTATATTATTATTCCTGAATATGAATACAAATTTAAATAATAGGAATATTTAGGTCGTGATAAATAGTACGGACCAATTTACAGGTTTTAACTTAAAAAGTTATTTTTTTCGATTATTTTCTTAATCGATTTTAGTTTACATATTTTATTCATTCATGTAGCGTATTTGTTATCAATTTTTATTTTTATTTTACTTCAAATTATTAGGGGCTAAACGATATTCTCGTCCCCCCATCCTTTTTATGGGGGAGTAATCATCTTCCTCGCACCCCGAACTCTGTAATTATGGATGACCTGTTATCTGGTTACTTAAATTGTTGAAGTCGAGAGTTAAATGCTTGAACTTTAAT